ATTATATTCGAAATGTTATTCGAATATAGTTTTATACGAAGAAAAATTATTTGTTATTAGGAATAACTTTTTGATTTACAGATTTTTTAGATCCAATATTATTTATTATTTAAATGAACTTTGGAAGTACAATCGATCTTTCTATAACATAAAAGTTTCCTTTCCTAAACAATTTTATTAATTCATGTCTGAATAAATCTCCGTCTAAATCTGCGAACATATATGTATATAAGACAATTTTAATGATATATAATGAACAACAAATTTCCCAGATTATTTATTTTGTTATTCATTATCGTATATCATTAAAATTGTTTATTAATCAGTTATAAGTGCCAAATAAGCAACTATCGATTAAAAAGCAATACTTAATACTTAATACAATAATTAATATATTTGAAAAGCTATCCGAATAATACTTTGAATAATTTACTATATTCGAATTACTATTTGTATAGAATTTTGTTCGAGGAATTCATTCGAAATGTTGTTCGAATAAAAATGTTATTCGAACAATGCCCAACTCTGTCCATCATAATTTCGGTGTACCAGCCATTTTTTGTGAAAATCATCGTGCCAGATGGGATCATGTTTAAAATAAACGAGCTGTTTTTCAATTTTACGATAGGTACATAAACCCATAAATGATCGATAGAGTGTACGATGTCACGTCCGGTAATTGAATTCCCATTTTTCCGGTACTGGAAAGGAGATTGCGATTTAAAATTTCAATATCAAACCCGGTGGTTGATTATTTCGTCAATAAACTGTAACGTGCAAACACCTTGTGCACACGTGCGGCCTCGTACAATTACGAAACCACCACGTGTGTCGCTGTTCGTACACTAAGTTTTCCGATTTGAGTTTTCCGTTCTTCCTGCTCAAATATTACAAGCTTCACTGGACCAAACATTCCGAATTTGCTTCCGTCCCCGTGAAAATTATTCTACCTCAATACTACATTGGCGTATTAATATAACTGTATGAAAACTTTAATCTTTCCTTTTGATACATTAACACATTACTCGCCAACAAATACAGAATGCATTTTGATATCTAGTTTACGCGAAACGTCGAAATGGCGTGTTCACATACACACATAATAATATAATAGACGTTAATAACCATAACAGATCACTGTTAGGGTAGAAATATGAATGTGGTGCCTCGTCCGCTTCGTTACAAAATCAACGTCCTTAAGCTTACGGATTTTTTAAGAAATCTATTTTGCGACTAAAAGTTCTGAAAAAATTCAGAGCGTTGTCCTCCGTTGGGTAGAAGATTCAAGAATTTTTTCATGATTTTCCGTTGGGTAAAACAGAAGAAATAGCGGACAATCTGTTAATCCAATTTCACTCTGTGTCTACCCTTACGGCGGGGATAGGGTTTTGAAAATTGGCTGAAAGGGTTCTCTTTGAGTGCTCTATCGAATGATCTAAACAAAAGCCAATTTGGTTAGGGGACCCATTTGGCATCTTATCTGACTTTACTGTTTGAAGAAGAAAAGGAAGAGAAGACAATGGAAGAGGATATGAAAAGAAATACGAAGATGGTAGAATGTTAAGGGGTTCCGTTACATTCTATTCCACTACTCCTTTCCCTTCGCGTAACATAATTACTTTTAACGGTTTTATGATTATTATTGTTATTTATTCATTAGACCGTGGATTTTTATAGAAAATAAAAATTCTTTGCATTAATTGCAAGAATCAACAGCCAATTAGAAGTTCCTTCTTTTCTTTAATAATCTTAATAAGTCGAGAATACTGAGTCGACGTTTTTAAATTAATTTAATCTTTTCACGGTTTTGTACTCTTGCTATTCATTTTTGTCTTAAACACATAAAACCTTCTGTGTCTGTTATTATTAGTGTCACTTCCATATTTAACATCCTAATTATAGCATCGGACTTCATGTCTGCGTCTATTTAGAAATAGCTTCACCACCTGTTACGTGCAACAGTTACAGTTCCCACGGAACTCCCAATCTGCGTTTACATCTTATGTATTTATTCATTTATTTGTTTACTAACGGGTCGATCTCTTTGGTACATGTCAACGTCAAAAATAGGTTACAGTTCGACGCCCAGATCTTTGAACCACTCCAACCCCCAATATTCTTCGTCGAGGCTCATTTCTTCTATTAAACCACCGAATTCCCCATTTCCCGAGGTTCCCTTATCACATATATATGTAAATCTAGAAGAAAATCAGAATCCTACCGAGCACTCGTGCAGAATCCGAGAACACTCGTGCAGAATCCCTTCGAACACAAAACCAACACGATCTTTCCATCTTACGTTCAACCAGGATTCAATACATACATTCTGTCTCGAATTTCTGAAATATATTTTACAATGAAAAATACTTAAAGCAAAATAAGTCTTACGATCGAGAAAAGTATCGATCACGTTTTGGGACACTCTCCTGTTTCGTTGTGATAACACAAGGTAAGTGAGCGAATAATTTATTCGAATAAGTAATGAAGAATCAGCCGAATAAATAGATAGAATAATTTGTTACAATAAATAATTGTTATTCAAATGAAATATTCGCCCAAAAAGAGTTTATTCGAATAATTATTTTAAATCGTCGATTTTCAATAAATAGGTTGAATTGCTGCGGTTTCCATCTTGTTGGTATGTGAACACGGTAAACTCTCTAATAGTAAACTAAATAAATAGCATAATAAACTAAATAATATTCAAAACTATGTGATAAAGAGCTATATAGAAAATAAAATACAAATGTCAATGTTAGGAACGAGCGATTGAAGATCGTCGCATTTGTTGTCCAGAGCTCTTTCTGGATACACGTACTGAATATTAAACATATTTAATCAATTTTCAGTTTTGATTTTGTTTGTATTAAAATCCACTAAAACCTCACGCAACAGAATACAAAAATCAATGTGGTAAATAGTTTTTTTATTTTCCACCAGATATGATTCAATCGCGAATGAATGTTATGACGTATTTTGTCTTTTTCGATCGTTGTTGTTTTTACCGAGTTGAATCGTGTCAGTTAACGTAGACATCTCAGAG